AAAAAAAAAAAAAAAGAAATAACAAGTTAGAAAGCTTATTATCAGTTGTACAGGTCCTTAAACAAGTTAAGTATTCAGCTTCAGTAACCTTCTTCTAAAGATGAGGTCATTTTCCCAAGAAAATATTTTTCATCTTTCAGGATCACTGGGAGGACTAAATGAGACACTGGTGAGAACATTATAAAGCACTATTCACATGTTCACTGTTTGAATCTTTTATTATTAGAACAATAATGATAAACAAAGCACCTACTCTCAACTGGTGTAGGAAGAAACTACTGCTGACATAGATTCGGACATTTCAGAAGGAAAGCTTATAGTGAAAGACTTCATTTTCAAACCCAAAACTGACTATAATTTAAATGAGAACTTTTCAGAGGGTATAAAGGATCACTTTTGGTTTTTACTTACAAATAAAAAAATGTGCAAAGTAAGTGAATAATAAGTACCCACCTGTGGCCTTGTGAAACCTCTGGTGAAGCACCACTGATCAAAGTGTTGTTGTGCAGCATATAAACTCTTCTTATCTGTCTTCTTACAGTACACACGAATCAGCTGTTCAGCAAATCTCTCAGGCAGAAGTTGTGAAACCTTTTTAAGGAAGAAAAGATTTCTCTGTCACCTTGAAATCACACACTGGAGACAGATCAGCTTTTCCCCAAAATCCCAAGCAGCATCCTTGATGTTATATTAAAAAAGCACCACACTGTTTCGCTATTTTATCCCAATCATAATCCAATGAAAAGAATTCTTGATAGTTGTCACACTGAAAAATAGCCTACAATTTTATGCCAGTTAATAAAAGACTAAAATGCTGTATTACATGATTAAATGTAGACCACAGACTTTCATAAGACATGTAAATAAGCACATTTAACTTAACATGAAGTTAACCATACAGCCACACAGCACCCTATTCCCACCAGATATGTACCTAGTCTCTATACCAAAAACACTGCTTTCACTTATGCATAGCAAATGGGAGCTCTGGTAGCATAGTGCCTAAGGCACTTGACTGCTAACCAGAAGGCTGGCGGTTCAAATCCACCAGCCACTCCCCAAAAGGAAGACTGGGCATCTACTTCCATAGTGATACTGCCTTGGAAACCGAAGGAGGGGTCACTATGGGTTGAGTCTGACTCCCTGGCAATGGTTGCATTTTTTTATAGGAAATAGGAAAAACCGGTTCTTAAGATAGTCAAGTCTACACAAAATCAGGTACACTTTAATTTTAAAGATAGGCCTTTTTTTCCCCTTATATATTGACTTTAGAACCTAACATGCATGTAAAATGGGAATTTAGTGTAATGATTTGCCAAATATTACTATAGTATATTTATTTTACCTAAGTAGACAGTTACCTGATCTTTAGGAATCATGATTACTCTGTTGGGATCATTCTTGAAATAGAAGTGAACATGATCAATAGGATTCTTATCTTCCATTCCATAATCCATGTTGATAACCTTAACAAAACAACAGATAAGGGATCACTTATATAATAAGCACAAGAACTGAGTTCAGGAGGGGCATCACAAGAGAAGGAGCAGAACTCTCTGAAGGTTCAGTAGCAAGTGTACTATTAAGGTGGCTGGTAAACAAACAAACAAAAAACTCACTGCCATTGAGTTGATTCTGACTCATAGCGACCCCCACTGAGTTTCCAAGACGGTAAATCTTTACGGAAGCAGACGGCATCTTTCTTTTGCAGAGCGGCTGGTAGATTTGAACCACTGACCTTTTGGTTAGCAGCCAGATGCTTAAGCACTCTACCTGCAGAGCTCCTATGGTGGCTCATAGTGGCATAAAAATGATTCTGGTGTATGACCATAGATATTTTGTTTTGAAATCTGAGGGAAAGACAATATTTGTCATTTAACATCCAGTATGTTAATGCAGACATTGTGTTGGGCACTACAGATACAACAGAGAAATTTTTCATACATTTCCAGGTCCCACAGACCATGTGGCTTAGACTGAAATTGAACAAATACAGCTCATATCAGGTACTGTTGAGTAGGTTCTGACTCAAAGCCACTCTTTGTACAACAGGATGAAACACGGCCTGGTCCTGAGCAATACTCAATGATTATTGCTATGTTTGAGCCCATTGTTGCAGCTATGCTGGCAATCCACCTCCTCGAGGGCCTTACACTTTTTTGCTGGCACTCTGCTTTACTAAGCATGATATCTTTCTCCTGGGCCTTGTCCCTCCTAATAACATGTCCAAAGTATGTGAGATGAAGTCTCACCATCTTCACTTCTAAAGAGCATTCTGGCTGTACTTCTTCCAAGATGTATTTGTTCATTCTTCAGGCAGTCCATGGATGATCAATATTTTTTGCCAACACCATACTTCAAAGGCATCAATTCTTCTTTGGTCTTCCTTATTTATTGTCCAGCTTTCAAATGCATATGAGGTGATTGAATAATGCTCAAAATAACATCTTTGCTTGTTAACACTTTAACAAGGTCTTTTGCAGCAACCACCTTCCTTCTGAGGAGTGGCTGGTGGGTTTGAACCACCAGCCCTCTGGTTAGTAGTGATCTGAAGAGACTGTCCCTCACTCTAGGATTCCTCAACAAGAAAGTAACAAAATGAGATACTGTCCATCTCATCTCCACCCTTCCCCACTCATTGGATTAGTTTGAACCAAATCCAATATATTGACTGGAAGTTTAAAAAAAGTTTTTTTAAACTTCCATTATCTATGTACAAAAAAATTCACATGATTATAATCATACTGTACTTACAAGGAACCTCTAGTGGCATATGCCTAAGGCATCTAACTGTTAACCTGGCAGTTCAAACTCACCAGCCATTCCTCGGAAGATCACTACTTTCATAGTGATACCGCCTTGGAAACCCAAGGAGGGGTCGCTGTGAGTTGAATCGACTTGACGGCAGAGAGCTTGGTTTTCGGTTTTTATTGTCACTACAAGAGGGAACACTGTCCTGAGATTTCAGAAGAACAGAATTCCAAAAACAATTTCTTACAGGAAACAGATGAAAACTTGAGAAAATTGTTTGGCATTATCTTTAGGATACAGGACAATACTGTAGCCTTTATGAAAACAGAAGTCAGTCTTTTCCTTTGTATATACATATGTGGGCAATTTTAAAAAATAGGCATACATTACTTTTCTGATCAGAAAAACATTTTAAAATCAGTATGTACAATGTTCTGTTAGTCATAAAGAGGAGCCCTTATGGTGCAATGGTTAAAGCACTAGGCTGCTAACAAAAAGGTCAGTGGTTTGAATCCACCAGCTGCTCTGTGGGAGAAAGATATGACACCATGTTTCTGTAAAAATGTACAGACTTGGAAACCTTATGCAACAGTTCTACTTGGTCTTACAGGGTTGCCGTTAGTTGGAATCAATTCAATGGCAGTTGTTTGTTTTTGGTACTAGGCTTATGATCACAATTTTCTTTAAAATACTGATAAAACATGTTAAATAACATTTAAAAACTGTATTTTCTCAAGTTTTATAATGAATAGGTACTACTTTTATAATGACAAAGGTTTTATCTTTAAAAAAAGAAAAAAGGCTTTACTTACGATGTTACTGGGCTAGCTACTTACATCCACTATGAAATCTTCCGCCTTCAGTTCAGCTTGTAGCAATACATTGGGTTTAGCGTCAGCAACCTCATGTGGGAGGCATTTATACATTTCCTAGAAAAGATAAGACTCCTCATGTCAGAATTCCAGTATTTCATCATTAAAGTTTCATGCCATGAAGGTGTTTGTGGTTTGAAAATGACACGTTGCTAGAAAAAAATGGGTAGATATTCTGATCAAATATGTAACTCCTGCCATAGCCATCCTTTAAGCAACCAGATAGAGAATCTGCATAATAAATGTTTCATATTTTGAAAAAAAAAAATAGTATTAACCTATTATTAAACAAAAGGAGGTAAAATGTACCTCAAGGAAGTATTATAAGGTAGTGTGTGGTTATCAGTGTGCCTGGTATTGCTGGTTTACTGGCAAAGAGAAAGACCTTTAACAGCAAGAGAGAAAAAGGGATATTGGAACTACAGAAGATAGACAGACAGACATGTACAAATGGGAGAACCTAATATATTGTGGAACAAGTTAAGCACTTAAAAGCATGTCCTCAGAGTCTCAATGAAGGTTAGACAAGTACCTTATTTTGAGGTCTCTTATCCTTAGATATTTAGTTATTATTATTTTTTTAATCCTTAGATCATGGAGTGCTGGTGGTGCAGTTGGGTAAGTAGTTAGCTACTAAATGAAAGGTCAGTGTTTTGAACCCACCAGTTGCTCTGCAGGAGAAAGATGTAGCAGTTTGTAAAGATTTCAGCCTTGGAAACTCTATGGGGCAGTTCTACTCTGTCATATAAGGTTGCTGTGAGGTGGAATCAACTAAATGGCAGTGGGTTTGGTTTTATGGTTTATGCTTAGATCCATTTTCCTGCCCTTACATTAGGACAAAATTTGAGGTCCCCTTCTCATTTCTGGGAGCTCTGGTGATGTAGTGCCTAAGGCATTTGACTGCTAACCAGAAAGCTGGAGGTTCAAACCCACCAGCCACTCTTCGGAAGGAAGGCTGGGCAATCTACTTCTGTATTGATACTGCCTTGGAAACCCAAGGAAGGGTTGTTATGAGTCAGATCCTGACTCAATGGCAGTGAGTTTGTTTTTGAGTTTTCTCATTTCTGGGATAAGAACAAAGTTTCAGAGTCATTTAGACTCGACTTTGAATCCTGGCTCTAATTGTGCTTCTGTGAGCAAGTTATTTAAACTCTCTCAAGTCTCAGTTTACCCATGTGTAAAACAGCCCTAAGAACTCTGCATTCTGAAAAGATTAATTGAGAATGAATGTAAATGAATGTAAATGTTCAGTGTCATCATGCTGCAGTGGGTTAATGGCTTTCTCTTGGAGGACAGAGATTGTGGCACCTTTCAGTAATGGAAAGGTACCTGACAACTCAACTTACCCTTTTAATCTTTTGTTCCACTGGAGGAAGAGTTTGACCCACATACTTGTATAGTTTGCGGCATTCAATTTTCTTTAAAATTTCTCGTGCTGCATCCAATTTGGGATCAGTAGAGTATAAAATCTCCAGAAAAATGTTATCTGCCAATTTGATGAAATTTCAGTTATATTAAAATGAAAAACTAAGATTTAAAGTTATATACTCCTGTATACCTGAAATGATTTCAAGTATTAGTACACACATGTAGACACACTATGATTATAATAACCTGAATTTTTTTTAGAACAGTGAAGAAACCTTTTAAAAAACATTCCAGTGAATGTCTTAGATTTGCTTCAAAATAATCCAGTAGATGGTACACCATGTGATCCTCAGCCTATAAAACTATGAGACCAGAAGAACTAGATGGTGCCTGGCTACCAATGTCAACCACTTGGAAGGGAAATCTATGTAGGAGATACTGGCTAGAGTGGGAGAACAATGTGGAACAAAACTCAAAATCATTTAAAAAAAAAAAAAAAAAGGACCAAATTTGCTGGTCTGATAGAGCCTGGTGAAACCCCTGAGACTATGGCCCCTAGCTGCCCTTCAGGTCTGGAATTGAACCCACTCCTGTGGCTTCCAGCCAAACAAAAAACAGGCATATGAGCTGAACATTTACATTAGGTAGATACACTCCTTGGAGAGATCAATCATGGGAGATAGAAAGGCTGTGTATGCACAGGGAGACAACTCGGGAGGGAGGAGTGCATGGGAGGGAAGGACACAGGGAAGAGGTGGCTATGGAGAGGAAGTGGGAGGAGAGCTGTTGCATTATGGGAAATTGCAGTCACTGTCATGAGACAAAGTGTATATGAACTGCTATATGGAAGATGAATTTGCTCTGTAAACTTTCACCCAAATCACAACTAAAAATAATAATAATAATAATACAGTAGAAGGGCAGAGATGAAACAAGATTGCATTAATTTGAGTTGATGACTGTTGAGGCAAGGTGATAGGTACACAGCCCACGAAAAGCAAATTGATTTCCGCCGAGTCTACTCTGACTCACAGAGACTCTATAAGACAGAGTAGAATTGCCTCATGGGGTTTCCAAGGCTGTAATCTTTAATGAAGCAGACTGCCGTATCTTTCTCCCATAGAGTGGTGAGTTTGAAATGCTGACCTTTTGGTTAGCAGCCAAATACTTAACCATTGCACCATAAGGTTTAAATCCTTCTGTCCATTTTGATGCATAGCAACCCCACAGAACTGCCCAGTGGGGTTTCTAAGGCTGTAATCTTTACGGAAGCAGACTGTCACATCTTTCTCCTACAGACTGGCTGGTGGGTTCCAACCACTGACCCTGTGGTTGGCAGCTGAGCAATCAACCACTGCACCACTAAGACTCCTATCTCAGTAGGATAATACATAGGGGTTTATTTATTTATTTTTGTTATGCTTGTATTTTTTAAGGGAATGATATTTAAGAATTTACAAACAAAATTATGCCTGGGATCTGCTTCAAAACAGTACAATGTTTGTAGGGAGTGAGTACATGGAATGGATAAAACAAAATTGCTGTGTGCTGATAACTTCTGATGCTAAGTGATAGGTACACAATTTTTTTTTTTTTTTAATTGTGATTTGGGTGAAAGTTTACAGAGCAAATTCATTTTCCAACAGCATTTCATACACACTTTGTTTCATGACATTGACTGCAATTCCCCACAATGTAACAGCTCTCTTCCCACTTCCTCCCTGTAGTTACCTCTTCCCTGTCTCCTTTCTTATCCATTCCTGCCCCCTGAGCTATCTCCCTGTGCAAATACTGCCCTTCTGTTCTTCCATGATTAATCTAAGGAGTGTATCTACTTGGTAGATACATAGAATTTGGTAAATTTCCTCAATATAAAGTTTTGATAGGTTCCATTCCATGATGATACCAGAGGTAATTTAAAAAATTCTTCCTTCTTTTTCTTCCAATCTTTTTTATTGAAAAATTTCAAAATACAATAACCTTTACTTAATACCATTCACCTAAATTCATCAGTTGTTAACATTTTCCCACATATACACTTTCTCTACATGTATGAACAAATTTTTATGGAACATTTGAAAATTGTAGGTATCACAATTCCTCAACCCCTAAACACTATAGTTCTGAGAAGAAAATGTTCTGTATCTTGCATCTGTCAGAACTGTAGTATTAACTAGTTACATTTGTATAAATTGTGTATATAAGTTTTACATCAAAAGAAAAAAAATCAATAAATGATGATGATTGTTGTTATGTGCCGTCGAGTCGGCCCCGACTCATAGCGACCCCTCCTTGGGTTTCCAAGGCAGTATCACTACGGAAGTAGGATTGCCCAACCTTCCTTCCGAGGAGTGGCTGGTGGGTTTGAACCGCCAGCCTTCTGGTTAGTAGTCAAGCGCCTTAGGCACTATGCTACCAGAGCTCTGATTAACCTTTAGTAAATATGCATGATGTAGGATTTAGGGTAAAATGTACTGATGTCTCTGGGATTTACTTTGAAATGCATTAAAAATAGATGAATAAAAGATAAAGTACAAAAATATGACCTAATAATTTCTCTGGGATCTTGTACCTGGAGCAAATGATACAAAGAAGCAAAGATAGTTAGTTGTTGTTGTTGTTGTTGTTATGTGCCATCGAGTTGGCCCCGACTCATAGCAACCCTTCCTTGGGTTTCTGAGGCAGTATCACTACAGAAGTAGATTGCCCCATCTAAGGATAGTTTAGATGACTGCTATTCCAAGTGTGAGCTGAGGGCCAGTGTTTGTATATAAGCTTATTAACTAGTCTGTAAAGGATAGAAATTGTTGGTAAGCACTTAGAAAAGTTTTATAGCAATTACACATTGTCACAAAATCCAAGCACATGATCACCTTTTCTTGAGCAGGATAAAAACTAGTTTGGGGGTTATGGAACATTAACAGTGAGAGAGAGCTCTGTACCAGTCAGGAGCAGTAGGGCCAAGTTTATAGTGTAGGATATTTGAACATTAGTCAACTAAGTGTACAAAATTTGAAATTCATTTATTTCATCATAAGACAGTTTAAATGTAAATGTAACTTTAAAGGATAAATAGTTAGAATTGGCTTCTGATGAAGGATTAAAGATGAATTTTTAAAATATAGAATCATGTGCTTCATTAAGGGTAAAAGTGAAAAATTAATATACCCAGCCTGTTCATATTGTTTCAAAGTTTCTTCCATTACTATGAACACAGCAATGGGAGAGTAGCTTATCTACTATTATGTCAGGAAACAAAAGGTAGAAATAATCTAGACATATTTTATCCCCTGCATCAGTCCAGCCTAAATTAGATAAATACACAATGTTCTCAGATTGCACAAAGACATCTAATATGGGAAATCATAATTTCACTTCTCATTTTTGTTTATGAAATGGTTACAAAATAACTAAAATATTGCAAAATTACTAAAATAATGTAGTAGTGATTCTCCATTGTTTATATGTGTATTTTATGAGAACAACAGCTTTTGTAATTCTTTTATTTTTCCCTATTGTGTTTCTTTTGATTATATTAATTGAAAGTAATGTTAATAGCATCAAATTCAATAGTAACAATTTGGGCTTGTATTTTATGTCTTCTTTTTCCATTTCATTTTTCTAGTAATTCATTTATACCCTATTTTAAAAAAGTATCAATCTGTGAGGAAATAAACAAAATTGGCTCTTCAAAGACAGTTTGAGATGAATTGGTTTAGGATTCATTCCGACAATGAACTGCAAGCAAAATCTAGCAGTGAAAAACAGCAGTAGTACCCTAGGTAGGATGCTGTGTCTGAAGCCACTGAACTTCTTTCTGTATTTGCTCATTTTCAGAGCCTCCAGGCTTCCCACTGATTCTGTAAGCTGTGTGACTGCTTTCTAACTTTAGTTTTAGCTAAACAGAGTCGGTTTCATGATTTGCACCTAAGAACTTTGCAGGTATATATTTTTCTGTTTTATTTCTCTAGTTTTGCTGATCTTTATTTCTCAATCTATGTTTCTCCATATTAGGTAACTGGCTGTCACACCTTCACCTCTCATTGTAAGTTGCAGATGCTTCTGCTGAAGGGAGAAGAGATGTTCTTCATTTTGCATTCTGTGTTTTACAACATAGAATCATATGTATATGTTTTATAACTGACAATAATGCTAAAAGGGCAAGCCAGTTTTTGGTATTAAACCACGTGTATTATGAATTAAACAAGAGTGAATATTAAGTACAGGCTTCCCCTTCTATCTGAATGTAGAGTTCCTATGAGATCATTCCTGAGCTGAAACAGAATAACGGAAAGAACTAATTACTATTAATTTATATGGGAAAAATTTTTGAGCATTCCCAGAATCAAAAAGATAACCTCCAAATCATACGTAAAACCTAAAATAACACTAGTGTGGTTTGATGCGGAGATACTAAGTGTAGTTCTGGGGAAGGTGTTCAGTGATGCCACTCTCTCCGTTCGGGGTAGCACTGCCTCTTTAACAGCTCCCTGCAAAACAAATGCTAAACACTATTTTTGCTTTTCACCCTTTTTTGCAAAAGCGAAAATCCTCTTTAGAGTTCTTTCAGTTAGAGAAAATAGATACTAATGTAGGTGGTATAAAAAAACTTTTGAAAAGCAGAGGATAATCATACTAATGTTTCAATCACAAGCCCTGGTAGCATAGTGCTTAAGCACTCAGCTGCTAACTGCAAGGTCAGTGGTTTGGAGCCATTAGCAGTTCTGCAGGAGTAAAGACCTGGTGATCTACTCCCATGAAGATTACAGACTAATGTGGGGGCTCAGGACTATCATCACAGGGACATCAAGGTCAATTGGAATAACACAATCCACAAACACAATGTTCTGCATCCTACTGTGGTGAGTAGCAACTGAGGTCTTAAAAGTTTGCAAGAGGCCATCTAAGATGCAACTATTGGTCTCTCCTCTTTTGGAGCAAAGAAGAGTGAAGAAAATCAGAGACACATGGAAACAATTAGTCTAAAAGACCAGTCGACCATGTGAACCGCAGCCTCTATGACCCTGAGACCAGAAGAACTTGATGTTGCCTGGCTACCGCTGCCAACCACTCTGAAGGGGATCACAACAGGAGATCCCAGATAGAGAGGGAAAAAACTCAAAATAATAAACCTTCTGGTCTGATAGAAAGTAGTAGAACCCCGAGATTATGGCCCTTACTCACTCTTCCTTTCTGAACTGAACTCACCCCTGTGGCTCAACTTTTACCCAAACAACAGATAGGCCAGGGAGGTATGCTTTCCTTACAAAAATCAACCATACAAGATCACCAGGGAAACATTTGCACAGGGATAAAACTCAGAGGCAGAAAGGGATGGGGAAGGACAAATGGAAATGGTAACCACAGGGAGGAAGTGGACAGAGTGCTGTTACATTGTGGGACTTCATTCAATATCACAAAACAAAACGTGTATGAACAGTCGAGTAAAAAACCAATTTGCTCTGTAAATTTTCACTCAAATCACACTTAAAAAAAAAAAAAAGACAGAAAAGGATTTTAGCCTAGGAAATTCTATGAACAATTTTACTCGTCATATTAGGTTGCTATGAATTAGAAAGGACTCAATGACAATGTGCTTCATTTGAGTATAACAACAAAACTGTGTACTAGGTAACATTTCCCCTACTTTGTAAAATGAGACAACTAAGGTTCAGAGACATTAAATTACTTTATCAAAGTTATCTTATTAGCACAAAGCAGAGCTAACACTCAAATCCAAAAGTAATCATAACTTGGAAGCTGAAATACATTAGAACGTTTGGGAAATAAACCATCTTTAAGCCAGGGACAGCTTATACTTTATCTGAGATGGACTATTTACGTTACCTTCTAGTTCTTACCTGTTAGCTTAGTGAAGGCTTCCATGTCATTAATTGCTGTAGAAATGTGGTATTTTTTTCCTTCAGCACCTATAATTTCTATATAGGGGTCTGCTTTGAGCAAAGCATCTGTAATCCTAAAGAAGATCATTTTATAAAAATTTATGCTTGTGAGAAAATATGAATATTTGCTTCAGCTTAAATGTAAGGGAATCTTTCTACATGTTGTTGTTGTTTGGTGCCGTTGAGTCATCTCCGACTCATAGCAACCCTATGAACAGCAGAATGTAACACTGCTTGGTCCTGTGCCAGCTCCACAATCCCTACTATATGTGAGCCCATCGTTGTAGCCACTGTGTCAATACATCTTGCTGAGGGCCTTCACTTCCTTCATTGACTTTCCACTTTACCAAGTGTGATATCCTTCTTCAGGGAGTGGTCTCTTCTTACAACATGACCAATGTAGGTGAGATGAAGTCTGGCCATTCTTGCTGCCAAGGAGCACTCTGGCTGCACTTCTTCCAGGACAGCTATGTTAGTCGTTTTAGCAGTGCATGCAGCATTCTTCACCAGCACCACAATTTAAGAGCATCAACTCTTCTTTGGGCTTCCTTATTCATTGTCCAGCTCTCACATGCATATGAGGCAATTGAAAATACCATGGCTTGTGTCAGGTGCACCTTAGTCTCCAAGGAAACATCTTTGCTCTTCAGCACTTGAAAGAGGTCTTTTGCAACCAGTTTGTCCAGTCGTCTGATATTCTGATGCTGCTTCCATTGGTGTTGATTGTAGAACCAATATGAAGTCTTTGACAACTTCAATCTTTTCTCCATTTATTATGATGCTGCTTATTGGTCCAATTGTGAGGATTTCTGTTTTCTTTATATTGAGGTGTAATCCACACTGCAGACTGTATTCTTCAATCTTCATCAGTATGTGTTTCAAGTCATCTTCACTTTCAGCAAGCAAAGTTGTGTCATCTGCATAATGCAGGCTGTTAATGATCCGTCCTCCAATCCTGATGCCACGTTCTTCTGCATATAGTCCAGCTTTTCAGATTATTTGCTCAGCCTACAGATTGAATAAGTATGGTGAAAGGACACAAAGCTGACACACTCCCTTCTTGACTTTAAACCATGCAGTATCCCCTTGTTCTGTTCGAACAACAGCCTCCTCGTCTATGTACAGGTTCCCCATAAGCACAATTAAACGCTCCAGAATTCCCATTCTTCTCAATGTTACCCATAATTTGTTATGATCCACACAATTGAATGCTTTTGTAGTCAATAAAACACAAGTAAACATCTTTCTGGTATTCTTTGCTTTCAGCCAAGATCCATCTGACATCAGCAATGATATCCCTTGTTCCACATCCTCTTCTGAATCCAGCTTGCATTTCTGGAAGTTCTCTGTCAATATACTGCTGCAATCATTTTAGAATTATCTTCAGTAAGATATCATGTGTGTGTGATATTAATGACACTGTCAGATAATTTCCACATTCTGTGGAATCCCTTTTGGAATGGGTACAAATACAGATCTCTTGCAGTCAGTTGGCCAGGTAGCTGTCTTCCAAATCTCTTGTACAGCATCTGTCTGTTGAAACATCTCAATGGGTACCCCATCAATCCCTGGAGCCTTGTTTTTTTGCCACTTCCTTCAGTGCAGCTTCAGCTTCTTTCTTCAATACCATTGGTTTTTGATCATATGCCACCTCCTGAAATGGATGAACATCAACCAATTCTTTTTGGTATGGTGACTCTGTGTATTCCTTCCATCTTCTTTTGATGTTTCCTGCATCATTCTATATTTTGCCCATAGAATCTTTCATTATTGCAACTTGAGGCTTAAATTTTTTCTTCAGTTCTTTCAGTTTGAGAAATGCTGAGTGTGTTCTTCCCTTTTGGTTTCCTAACTTTAGGTCTTTGCACATATCATTATAATAAATGACTTTGTTTTCTCGAGCTGCTCTTTGAAATCTGTTCAGCTCTTTTATCTTGTCATTTCTTCCATTTGCTTTAGCTACTCTCCATTCAAGGGCAAGTTTCAGAGTCTCTTTTGACATCCATTTCAGTTTTTTCTTCCTTTACTTTTTAATGACCTTTTGCTTTCTTCATGGATGATGTTCTTGATGTCATCCACAATTCCTCTGGTTTTCAGTCACTGGTGTTCAATGCATCAAATCCATTTTTCAGATGGTCTCTAAATTCAGGAGGGATATATTCAAGGTCATATTTTGGCTCTCATGGACTTGCTCCAATTTTCTTCAACTTCAACTTGAACTTGCACATGAGCAGTTGATGGTCTGTTCGACAGTCAGCTCCTGGCCTTGTTTTGGCTGAAGATACTGAGCTTCTTCATCAACTCTTGCCACACATGTAGTTAATTTGATTCCTGTGTAGTCCATCTGGCAAAGTCCATGTGTATAGCTGCCGTTTGTGTTGTTGAAAAAAAATTTTGCAATGAATAAGTCAATGGTCTCATAAAATTCTATCATGTGATCTCCAGCATTATTTCTATCACGAAGGCCAAAATTTTCAACTACAGGTGATTTTTGTTTCCAACTTTTGCATTCCAATCACAAGTGATAATTAACACATCTTGATTGCAAGTTCAGTCAATTTCAGACTGCAGAAGTTGATAAAAATCTTCAAGTTTCTCATCTTTGGCTTTGGTGGTTGGTGTGTAAATTTGAGTAATACTAGTATTAACTGGACTTCTTTGTAAACGTATGGATATTATCCTGTCACTGACAGTGTTGTACTTCAGGAGAGATTTTGAAACATTCTTTGTGATGATGAATGCCATGGCATTCCTCTTCAATTTATCATTCCTGGCATAGTAGATCATATGGTTGTCTGATTCAAAATGGCCAAAACCAGACCATTTCAGCTCACTGATGCCTAGGATATCAATCTTTATGCATTCCATTTCATTTTTAACAACTTCCAATTTTCCTAGACTCATACTTCGTGCATTCCATGTTCTGATGATTAATGGATGTCTGTAGCTGTTTCTCCTCAGTTTGAGTCAGCAAATGGAGCCCCCAAAAGCTTTACTTTACCCATATTATTACAGTCAGTTCTACTCTGATGAGGCAGCTCTTTCCCAGTTGTATTTGGAGTGCCTTCTGACCTAGGAGATCATCTTCTGGCACTGTGTGGGACAACATTTAGGGCTATTCATGAAGTTGTACAGTAAAGTATCACACAGTGTTTCTCTGCCATTCATAAGTGTCTCTCTGCTTTCTACATAAAATCTTGAGATATGACATTAGAAAGACAAATGTTTCTCAATCATACTAAATAAGTGCATGTTGTTATGAGCTACCATGCTTACTATGTTCCAGGTACTATGGCAGGACTTTAGATATTTAATATTTCCAACAATAAGGTAGATATAAAGAGACACAATTTTACAGATGCAGAAATTAAATAACTTGCATTTAACCAAGTTAGGAAGAAGCAATGCCAGGCTTTAAATCTAGATTTTGCCAAATTGAAAAAAAAATCTTATCAAAGTATCAATCATACAAATATGATAATATATTCTAATTAGTCTGTTCATGGGGGGGGGGAGAGAAATTTCCCCAATATAAATGTAAAAATGAGTATGTCTATAATGTTATAATAAATCAACTTAAAGCTATTTTAGACACATGGTATCAACACACTCAACTTTTGATAACTTCATATAGGTTCTACGAGTCACAAAGAGACTTTGTTGTATACTTCTGCTAAGGTTCTGACCAAATCAGAGACAAAAAGGACAGTTTCTGTCAGTTTTATTATAAACTGATCATTTGGATAATATTTGATAGGACAAAGACGGACACTAATCTTACTCCTTAAACTTACTTTCACTAATCTGAAAATGTCAGTTATTCATGTACCATTACCTTGATGATTAATACCTGGTAGATAATACACAACCAGTGTAGAAGTCCTGAGCCTTTCCAGCACTGCCTTTTCATGTCTGACCTAAATCAGCTCTTCTCCCCTTCTCCCACCTTCTTTGTCGATTCTCCTCTTCTTCCTACAACTAAATGAAGTGCATTGGGTGCTAGTGTTTTTTTTTTTTTTTCCTTGTTGAAGGACATCATTTTAGATTTATTCACATAAAATTCACTTGGATTTATCCAGAAATCTAAACTTGGTCTAACTGTGATATGCTAGCTCTAGCAAAGCATCATAGGGAATTTTATACAGAAATAACAATCACATTTCTTACATTGTTTCAATGATGTTACCAACTTTGTGTTGGTAAGCTCTGCGATGTAAACAGTTGCGTGTGTGGAACATGTCATACAGATTCCAAACTTCCTGTAGGAAAATATGTAATAAATATTAATGTAGTATCAGATGATATTAACCCTCTGAGAGGACAAGTCTATAATACAAGAGAAAGAGATGGTGGCAATTAAGAAGGTTATGCACAGGGAGACTTCATTAAAGTCCCTGAGCCCGCTGAAAACCGGGGAGGCAGATTAGTAAAGCTATTTATTGGTTTGCAACTTCAAGCTGACAGATTAATAGTAAACTAAAACCTAATTCAGTACTTTATCTTAAATCTAATACTTCTTTTAATCCTTCCAGTAATTGTAGGTAATAGATATTATTACTCTTGTATTCTTCACTTTCAACAGAAAGACTTTTTAATAGTACAATACTATATTAGTCTTTAGTTACATCCGTGACCTAGCAGGGACCTAAATATTTCAGGAATTTAACTCTTTTGAAATACTAATATAGAGATTAATGCTGAGGTTTTGGAGCTAAACGGTCTGGGTTGAAATTGTAGCTTTGCCACTTATTAATTCTATGCCTTTTCTGTGCCTCAATTTGCTCATCTGTTTAATGGAATAATAACAGTAACCATCTCATAGGGCTATGAGAATTGAGTTAATTCATGTAAAGCACCTATAACACTGCCTAACACAACAGTCAATAAATGTTGATTATAATTTAATTTTTGTTATTTAACAAAACAAGAGAAAAGAAAAGAGCCTTGAAGTACTTACAAAGGCTAAGCATGAAGTAAAAAGGTTGACTCTTTACCACGTACTGAGTTTTCCAAACTCGTGAGTGGTTATTTCTAGATTTCAGACCAGAAACTACAACGTCCTCATTGTTTCCTCTGACATAGCTTACCTTTTCTCTAGTACAAATATGTTTCTTCTTATCTACTTCACAGACACGGGCAAACTTGATAAAGCGCTTGTGATCAAAATTATTTTGGATTCCGAGATGATGGCAGTCCCTAAAGATATTCCATAGATAGAGGGAAAAAGTTTTTCAACAAGGAAACTGTACCTGAAATACTAACTTTAAATTTATACAATGATTTCAACACACTTCTCTAAGTGTTCAGTGCATACCTGGCAAAATAATCCCATTTGTCCACATCAATGCCATTTCTTTTATTAGCCACAATCTCATAGAGGAAGCTTTTCTCTTTAGGACGCCCTTTATATGTCCACTGGAAGACAGGAAACCCACTGAAAGTTTTAGGGTAGGAACCAAATCTATGTACAAGCAAGGCAAAGGAACTGTATTAATGGGCAAAGTATAAACAGACACTTGATTGGAAACATGAGATAAGGTTCTACTCTTTTTCCACTTGGTTTCTAAATTAGTAGAAAGAGAGAAATGCTAAGGTATATATCTTATTAATACTAAACCATTTTGTGTCAATGACAGGATCCTGAATCTATTACACTTCTCACTACCAACTTCTGTGTTTTCTTGGTTTACCGTTTTTTTTTTTTTTAATAAAAGATCTAATATGAAGTAAGAAGGTTCTTTAACTGAAAATGCTTGAATTGATTCGTGCAAAATAGTACTATCTGAAAGTAGCTACACACCTAGTATAAATCATATGCATTTGCATTATTCCAAGTAGTTTTGGAAGTCTATTTTCAGAAATATGATATTTGCTGCAAATTCCCTTTCTTTATCTCACAGGTTAAAATAGAATTATATATATTTGAGGGAAAAAAACCCTAAGAGTCTTGGGGGAAATAATTTTCCAACTTCTTTTTTTTTTAATTAAGAAAAAAAGAAGAAAAAAGACAAAGGATCCAAAAAGAAATAAACAGATTTTCTTCTGAAGGCATTCAGCTTTTTTCTAGGTCTTTATATATCTAAATGTTCTAAATAGCTTAATTTTAATGGATAAAAAGACATACACTTTTACATTTCTAAACAAAGTTACATTAGATATTTACAGAAAATACTGCATATATATATGCGGGAGCTCTGATAGCGTAGTGCCTAAGGCATTTGACTGCTAACCAGAAAGCTGCCAGTTCAAACCCAACAGCCACTTCTCGGAAGGGAGACTGGGCAATCTACCTCTTAGAGATACCACTTCAGAAACCCAAGGCGGGGTTACTATACATTTAAAAAGATTTATTTATTTTTTTAATTGAGAGGGAAATTTTTAAAGAACTCAATAAAGAGGGATTTAAAAAAGTATGTCTTTCATTTTTTGCAATAAACTATGGAAATAGGTAACTTATATTTTATCATTTAGGCCCTCTAAAATAGGCAAGTGGGTAGCTTTGAAGGAGGCAAAGAAAGACCAGATGAAAAGAATCAGTCAGTTCAAAGTTAGTGGTACACAAACTTACCACAGACTCTTGGTTAGAGAATTCAAGTGGTCCTATAATCTGTTCCTTGATAAAACAAGTATCTTCTTCAAGGATGAGACCATAGTGTTCCATGACTTCTCTGAGTCCATTAGAATCAACTAGGTGCTCAAACATCTTGACTGAGCCCTGTTCATGCTACGAAAGAACCAGCATAATATCGTGTATTATACACTCTGGCCCATTAGGGGTCCAGAATACTAAAAGTACTTGAGTTTGAGCCTAGGTAAGTCAGAGATATGGTTCTACTGCAGGTTAACTATCTAATTTCCAATTACAATCTTTCAGATATTTTTAAAAACCTGTCAAATTTGTCAATATTTTACTAGTCTAACAAATATTTTACAAATCATGTTCATCATTTCATAAATACACTTAATGCATTTAAGGACACATAATCATTTACAGTGCCTAGAAGAATACTACCATGTAAGACAGGTAGAATTCCATTTTCATTTAAATCACTATAAAATCCAGTTGTGTGATTTAACCAGTATTAGAACATGTGAACTTACAGGCCCTGTCAGCAATTTCATCTAGCGGTAAAAAGGGGTAATTTCAAACTTGACAGTAAAAGCAAACTTGAAAGTGTATTACAGATTTTGAAGTCAAGACCTGGGATGAAATCAGGACTTTGAACCAAATGAGAACAGCTCAGCAATTGCCATCATAAAGAAAGGCTGCATATTTGTTGCACAGCAACCAAACCTGATGTCTGTGGATTCAACCTGAGTAAGAAGCAAACAGATGTGCCGGCTCAAAGATGGCAGCCAACCAGGTCACAGTGAATGCACGTTGCTCTGCACAGTCTTGCTAATAATGTTGCTCTCCAGAAGTCCTGCAGCAGGAGTCTGATGTGGG